ATATATATATCAATCTAATTTAAAAACTTGCTGCCTCACATAATGGTATGGGTATACTACCATTTATTTACTTTCTATTGCTGGACATGTAGTTTTCCAACCTATTATAAACAATGAATGTCCTTCTACCAAATTATTTTCTTTTGTGAATTAAATTTTAAATGATGAGTAGCATATAGTAGGCGAAGAGCATGAGGATTAATGTGAAGGAGAAACATTTTCTGGATTAAGGGAACAACATGTACTTTCAAAAAACGCTGCTGAAGAAAATGACAGACTTAGGGGAGAAGCATTTCTGTTTTTATGAACTCTTGTTTTCCTGAACTGTGTGTTAGAGTATCTTATTTTATGGAATAGACATCTATTTACTGAATAATTTATAAATATATAATTTTCTTTGTGAGATTAAAAATATTTTTCAGTAAATGTAACCAATGGAGAAGTGGAATCACAAACTGATAAAAATGACTGTTCAGAAGTTTCACAGAGGTTAAATGGATATTTCTGGGAATAGAACTATATATTAGCTATCTTTCTCATCTTTTTTTGTCTAAGTGAGAAATTCTTATCTAGAGTTCAAAATAGTTTTTTGAGTTGTTAGTCTCCACTACTATCCAGCTGAGATAAATTTTGTTTGATTAAAAAAGATAATGATTAGAAGTTGCTAGTTTATCAAGAAGGTATCTGAAAATGGTATATATGGCTTATAGTAGATGAATTGCATTTTGTTGTATATTACTCTTAACAATAAAATTTTATTATACTTAAAAAGTTTTAGTTTTTGCTGTTCCAAATTTCTAATTTTTGAATGTTGCCTGTAGTGTGACATCAAGTACTATAGTATTATATTTTTATCATAACCCTGACAAGTAAGAGTATTTGCTCATTTTTAAAAAATCACATTGGAAATAACAAATATCGCATGATCTCACTTATATGTGGAATCCAATGAAGAAAATAAATTGATGAACAAAACAAATCCAGAAACATTGAAACATGCAACAGACTGACATATTTCAGAAGAGTTTAAACAAAGAATTTATATGCATATATACATAGTCCATGGACAAACAATAGTGGAGTAAGGCTTGGGGAGGGGACAGGAGGTAGATGGAGGAGGTCAAGAGTGGGGGGGAAGGAGGACATTTGTAATATTTTTAACACTAAAGTTTTAAAAAAATACATTGGAAATAAATGGAACATTAAACAAGGGAGGCATCCTTCTGAGCTATTTCTAAAAGTAAAAGATTTTCTTTTTGGTTGCCAAGGATGCTTTGCTGTTTGGTTACTTGTTGAATAGAAATCAGAACTTTGTAAGGCTCAACTTCTAAAATTTCTTACTCATTTAAAAATATATATATGCTAAATAGTTCTAATTAGTCCTATTAATTTGAAAAGTATAAATGCTTTAAGTAAATCAGCCCAATGTGTTCTCTCATTACCTTAAATAATAATTGTATTATTTATTGTATTTCATGATTATGAAATATTTATACTTTATGTGAAGTATAATTTTTAAGCATTTATATCTATTTTTTTACTTAGAGTAATTTTAAGAGTAAAGTATACATTTAAACACATAAAATAACTTATTTTGTATATAATTTTTTTTTTAGAGCTGCTTTAGAAGAGGTAGAAGGAGATGTGGCAGAATTGGAACTAAAACTTGATAAGGTAAATTTTACTTTTTTAACTTTTAAAACATTCTTATTTTCTATAAATAATAATTTGTGTCTATAATAGTAGATGATTCACATTACTTCTTTTATCTCTGTGTGGGTAAATGCTATTTTTATCCCAATTTTACACATGAGGAACTTGAGGCTAGGAACAATAACTAGCTTGTTCAAAATCTAATCGAAGTGCCAGCGCAAGAATTTGAACCGTGTCTGACTTTATTTTTTTTTTTTTAAAGCTTATTGATTTTAGAGGGAGAGAGGAAGAAAAAAGGAAAGAAAGAAAGAAAAAAAGGAAGAAAGAAAGATAGAAAAAAGAAAGGAACATTGATTTGTTGTTCCACTTATTTATGCATTCATCGGTTGATTCTTGTATGTGCTCTGACTGGGGATTGAACCTGCAACCTTGACAATGCTCTAAACAACAGTTACCCACCCGGGGCCTCATGTCTGACTTTAAAGCTCACTATATATTCTTTATATTGTTGGAAGTTTGTTCCCTTTGTCCCCATCAAAAAGATTGTAACTATCTTTTTTGATGCTTATAAATTTGTAAGTTCCTGTTTATAAATTTGAGTGTGGCCATGTTCAAATATAAAATAAAATAAAATAAAACAAAACAAAAACTCATATTTTTTTTCCCCCATTTTAAATAGCTTTTATTTAAGCAAAATCAGATAGGATATCACCTTGGGCTTAAAGTAATCATTACCATCTTTAACCATACAATTCAGAAGCATTTTTCCTTCCTGAGCTGGTTTTAAACTGAGAGTTGGAGATAACTGTTCCCTTTATCCCCAACTTTTGCCAGAAAACAGAAAAATGTCCTATTTTTTACATAGAAAGATTAAGTTCTCCAGTGGCATTTTTTAAAATATCAACCTATATGCACTTTAGAATATAAAATAACAGTGAATTGTTTAAACTCAAAGACCCACTATTTTGAGAACTTTTTATAGAGACTTGGTCTTTCCACGTAGATATCATTGGGGTTTTTCCTTTAATCTCAGGCTCTTCTGTCATCTTTCAAGCAGCATCTGTAAAATTCCCTCACGCCCATAGACATGCGTGCCTCTCATTAATGTGGCAGCATTATTTAATGAAACTTATAGGGGTAACTTTATTTTAAATGGGGGGCTTGTGTATACAAAAGGTATGTATATTGTCATTGTAAAAAAAAACAACAGTTAACATTTTTTTTTCATGTTAATTGCTTAAAAATTTTTCAGAGCCAATGAGGCTCTTTAAAGAAGTTTCTTCCAAAAAACTGAGACAAAGCCAGGTAACAACTTTTAAATTTAAATGATACCTTTATTGTCGTCAAAAACTCATATTTTTAAAGAACTATTGCCAGAATGCTTAATATATATTTAATAATTAGCCAAAACCGGTTTGGCTCAGTGGATAGAGCATCGGCTTGCGGACTGAAAGGTCCCAGGTTCAATTCCGGTCAAGGGCATGTACCTGGGTTGCGGGCACATCCCCAGTAGGAGATGTGCAGGAGGCAGCTGATCGATGTTTCTCTCTCATCGATGTTTCTAACTCTCTATCTCTCTCCCTTCCTCTCTGTAAAAAATCAATAAAATATATTTTAAAAAAATTAATATTAAGTGGTCATATTCTCTGTAAAGGTAAATGTACATTGATTACTATCTTCTATATTAATTATTGATAATCTTGTGTGTTTTTTCGCTTCTACTCAAGAGACATTGTCTGCTATACAATAGGCAGAAATATGAGAATGACTAGAACATGGCTTCTGATCTTTTTGTTTTTTTTATAAATTTTTATTTATTTCAGAGAGGAAGGGAGAGGGAGAGAAAAATAGAAACATCAGTGATGAGAGAGAATGATTGATTGGCTGCCTCCTGCATGCTCCCCAACTGAGCATCGAGCCTGCAACCAGGGCATTTGCCCTGACCTGGAATGGAACTGTGACCTCCTGGTTCATAGGTCAATGCTCAACCACTGAGCTACCGGTTGGGTGTTTCTGATCTTACATAACCATTATTCAGTGAAAAATTTCTGGAAATAAATTAGATGTATATATTTAAATTACCTTTTTTGAAAATAGTTTACTATTTATATAATTACTAGAGGCTGGGTGCATGAATTTGTCCACGGTTGGAGTCCCTAGACCTGGCCAGTGATCAGGGCCAATGAGAGCTGGGCAGATCGGGGAGGGGTGGGGGAGGGACCGTGGGCCAAACTGGGCTTGATGGCCGGGGGGAGGACAGGGTGTGGGAGGTTGGTTGCAGGCCCCGAGGAGGGAGCCAGTCCACAGGCCCCCCTAGGAAAGGGGCTGCATCCACTGCAACCCCCCCCCCCCCGGGGCCCAAAGGCCCTGGCGGGGTCAGGAGAGGAGGCGACTGTCGCCGGGTTGGGTGCAGAAGGGACGGCCACCGCTACCAGCCAGCCGTGGGAAGTTGGCTGTGGGAACGCACTGACCACCAAGGGGCAGCTCCTGTGTTGAGCGTCTGCCCCCTGGTGGTCAGTGTGCATCATAGTGACTGGTTGACCGGTCATTCTGGCCGTTCGGTCGTAATGGTTGCTTAGGCTTTTATATATAGACTAGAAGCCCGACACACGAAATTTCTGCAAGAGTAGCCCTTCCTTCCCCCGGCAGCTGGCACCAGCTTCCCTCTGGCACCTGGGACCTGGGCTTCCCTCTGGCCGCCGGCAGGCACCAGTGACCTGGGCTTCCCTTGCAGCCCCAGCTTCATCTGGAAGGTCATCCGGAAGGACATCCAGAAGGTCGTCCAGTCTAATTATAATAGCATATTACACTTTTATTATTATAGATATGGTAAATGGTATTGCTATGTAAAGCAGTGCTTCTAAAACCTTACTGTGCTTAGATTCTTATCACCTGGGGATCTTATGTGAAAATACAGATTCTGATTTAGTAAGTCTGGAGTATCTGAGATTCTTTGTTTCTAACCTAATTCCAGGTAATACCTATGCTGTTGTTCCAGGACTGCACTTTGAGTAGCAAGGATATAAAAATTAGTCTGATGATTTTTTCAAATGTTTTGAAATCTTGAAATATACATACATAGGTATATAATGTAAATACTATAGAAACTATATAAAACAGTATTAGTTATATATGCAAAACATACAAATTTTAGAAGCACTTTGTTATACAGCATGTTTTTGGATTTTTTTAATAGTCCTATGAGGTAGGTAGGACAAGTGGTATTATTCCCATTTTAGAGATGATAATACCAAAGCCCATATGGCAAAGGGGACTTGCTTCATATCACAGTTAGAAGAGGCAGAATCAAGATTAGAACCCATATGTTTTTATTCTTAGTTCAGTGCTCTTGTGCTCCACTGTATTTCTGGATCCATGTTGGGGGAGCACATGCCACTTGGAAATTTTCTGAGGAACACTAACAAGCTTCCAGGCAAGTGTTTTTAAGAATTAATGTTACGATTTTTAATAAGAATATTATTTTTAAAACTTTACTTTTTACTTAAAAATAAATGTCTGGGATTATTATTGTTATACTAGAGGCCTGGTGCATGAAATTTCGTGCATTGGGCAGGTCCCTCAGCCTGGCCTGTGCCCTGTCGAAGTGGGACCCCTTGCTCCTTACTGCCTGCCTGCAGTGGAAGCGGGAGAGGTTCTTGCCACCACAGCTGCACTCGCCAGACATGAGCCCGGCTTCTGGCCGAGCGGCGCTCCCCCTGTGGGAGTGCACTGACCACCAGGGGGAAGCTCCTGCATTGAGCATCTGCCCCCTGGTGGTCAGTACACGTCATAGTGACCAGTCGTTTCGCCGGTCGGTTGATTTGCATATTAGGCTTTTATTATATAGGATAATTCCTGAGGTATTATATTTGTTTTTAAGCACTCTTTAAAACAGTTCTTAAACCTTTAAGGTAGGCAACAGAAGATACTATTTTGATTTTCTGGTAGATTTATGAGCGAATATATAAAAGGCAAGGCTTTTTTAAAGAATCACAGAGTAGTATAATAGGGCATCTATTCTTTTTGGGTAGAACTGCATGTAAATCACATGAAATTTTTTTGCAGGGGTGAGGAGAGCCTTACAATTTAAAGTATCTAAACAGTCCACTGACAGAATTTTTGTTAATGACTTTGCTTTTATGAGTAGGTTTTTTTCTTTTATATCATTTAGTTGGAGTTGGAAGACTGGTAAAATTCTAAAACCAAAAGATTCAAATCCAAAACTAGTTATTAAAGTATTGACATTTTACTCTCAAAGGGCTACTTAAAGGCACCGTGGAAACTTTGACTTTTATGAAAAGTTCATCTTCTATCCAAAAAGAAGTTCCATAGTTATTTTTATATTTTTCTAATTTAAGATCTTAATTCCTTATAAATAAATGTACTCTCCAAAATTCTTAAGCTATTATCTATCATTTTCACTTTAGAATTATGGGGAGTTAGCATAGAGCAGAGAGCCTGAGAGGTGTTAGAATGGTTGTTATTGAAGGTGGTGGCATTGAAGGACTAGTGGAGGGGAGAGGTTGCCCAAGACTAGTTTAGTGATTTCATAACTTTGTGCAGGGCAAGTTTCACCTTTAATATTGTAAGTCATGCCAGCAACAGGTTAAACGAGCTTGATGACTTAGCTTATATTTATTTTGCTTATAATCTATGCCACTCTTCCTCATGAGTATTGCTTCAATGAGGGGCATTGCTTTACTGGGTCCAATTACTTGTCCGTTGTGGCAGGCACTTGGGCATTGACATCATAGAGCAGTGATGGCGAACCTATGACACGCGTGTCAGAGGTGACACGCGAACTCATTTTTTTGGTTGATTTTTCTTTGTTAAATGGCATTTAAATATATAAAATAAATATCAAAAATACAAGTCTTTGTTTTACTATGGTTGCAAATATCAAAAAATTTCTATATGTGACACGGCACCAGAATTAAGTTAGGGTTTTTCAAAATGCTGACACGCCGAGCTCAAACGGTTCACCATCACTGTCATAGAGCATCATAGTTGCCATCTAGACAATTTCTGTATCTGCTGCATTTTCTCACTGGAATACTTGCTCCCTGTTTGTTAAATAGATACCCTTTAAATCACAGTTCAGTTGCCTGGCTGGTGTGGTTCAGTAGTTGAGCATCAACCAATACACCAAGAGGTGGTTGATTTGCTTGGGTTGCAGTCTTGATCCCCATTGGGGGTCTGCAGGACATAGCCAGTTGATGTTTCTCTCTCTTCTTCTCCCTTCCTCTCTCTCTCTGTGATTTTTTTTTTAAATCACAGCTCAATTACTACCCAACTTAGGTTCTTTTTCTAGTATTGCATTGCTACTTGCACAAAATTCCATTTAAATTATTATAATATTGTAATTTTTTTTTTTTATATTTTATTGATTTTTTACAGAGAGGAAGGGAGAGAGATAGAGAGTCAGAAACATTGATGAGAGAGAAACATCGATCAGCTGCCTCCTGCACATCCCCCACTGGGGATGTGCCCGCAATCCAGGTACATGCCCTTGACCGTAATCGAACCCGGGACCCTTCAGTCCGCAGGCCGACGCTCTATCCACTGAGCCAAACCAGTTTCGGCATATAATATTGTAATTTTTTTTATTAGCAGTTACGAAACAAAGCCTTGAACAAGGCTGCCTACATTTGAATCTGGTTGTACCACTTACTAAGCTGTGTAGTCTTGGGCAAGTTCCTCAGCCTTCCTATGCTTCAGTTTCTTCATCTCCAAAATAGGGAAAATAAGAGTTTCTATCTGTCTTATAAGGTTACTAGAGGCCCGATGCACGAAATTTGTGCAAGGGGTTTGGCCCTTGCAGCCGCGGTAGCTGCCTCGGCCCTCACAGCTCCGGCTCCGTCTAGAAGGTCATTTGGCTGTCCGGTCTAATTAGCATGTTATGCTTTTATTATTATAGATTATGAGAATAAGATATGTTAAGTGCTTAGCACAGTTCTTGGCACATAGTAATGTTAATGATAATGGTGTTCAACAGATTATTAGCTCCTTGAAAACAGGCTGTCTTTAGGGAAAAATAACCCTCTTATTTCTTGTGCACTTAGGGTACCAAGTTCTAAGTTTTACTTATCTCCGACCTTCACAGCAATGTTGCAGAGTTGTTATTACACTGAATTTGCACATAAAAAAGTGAGAGTTAGAGAGGATCTTACGTACTCAAGGGTAGTCAGCAAATAAGTTATTTGTATTTCCATTATCTGGCAAGTGCCCATGACATAGTTTTCACTTTATTAAAAAAAAACAACACAGTTTAATGAATTGGAACTATTAGCTTGATAATTTTGACTAATTTGACATTTACTTTTAGGTAAAATTCTTCCCCTCTTCCTAGGCTTATATTATTCAGTTCTATCTCAGTCATAGCTGTCATCTAATATGGATCTTGACAACTGGCCAAGTATCTTATCACCAAGTTAGTCTTTCTTCTGAGTAGCAGCAGTGTATATATGGTTCAGCTATATGACAATTTCATTTTCTCTCCAACTCCTGTAATAGTGACCTCTATTCTAATATTGATACCTATTTTCAGGGCCATGTTCTATGCCTCACCAATCAAAATTCTAATCTGTTGAGATTTGGAATGCTGATATCTTGCTTTCTAACTTGAATCTCCTGTTCTTCCAGTTATAATCTTTACTCATATTGCTTCTGTTCTTCAAGCTCATCTAGACTCCTGGTCTTTTAATCTATCTACTTCTGGTATTTCAGAGTCCTTTTAAATTCACTTTCCTTTCAGTGCACCCTTTTTTTGGTAATTATTTTTTTGAGATAAAATTCACTTAACATAAAATACACCATTTTAAAATGCACAATTTAGTAGTTTTTAGTATATTCACAGTGTTGTGCAATCATAATTCTAGAACTATCTAATTCTAGAACATTTTCTTCACCCCAAAAGGAAATTCTGTACCTTTAGCAGTCACTCCTAACCTCTCCCAACATCCTCTGGCAACCACTATTCTACTTTCTGTCTCTAGATGTCCCTATTCTGGACATTTCATGTAAACAGAATCATATAATATTTGGCCCTTTGTGACTGACTTCTTTCATGTAGCATAATGTTTTTAACGTCAGTTCATGTTGCAGTGTGTTCCAACATTTCTTTTTTATGGCTGAATAAAATGCCATTGTATGAATATACCACATTTTGTTTGTCCATTTGTTGATAGTGATGTGTTGTTTCTACTTTTTGGATGAATAATACTACTATGAAACCTTTCAGGCTACTCTTAATTTTATTACAATATTATTTCTCTTCTGGAGACCTTCACTTCCCTTCCATAGCAACTACTTTATAGAATTCTCACTTTATTAGTCCAACCATCTATACTCTTTATCCCATATCTGGGCTATAAAAATCCCTACAGGAGAAGCTATACAACTGTTTGGTGAAACCAATCAGCAGAGCTACATATTCCTGGAATTCTTGATGCAAATGATTTTTTACAAGATTCAATCAGGTTTATTTTATTACCTTTAGCAGCCCTTATACTTCTGTTTTCTCAAAGACTTACCACTTTGTTCTTTATTCTTAGTAATAACTAAGACTCTTCCTTTCTTTTGGTGGGAAAACCTTTATTTCCTGCCCCTGATCTAGAAATTTAACAGAACCTGTCATTATCTTTTGTTTTTCCTCCCATTCAAGTGGTAAAAGTATCCCTTTTCTTATGCAGTCCCAGACTCTAACTCCTCAGGACTTTGCTTTAGCCACCTTTCTCCTTTCCCTTCTCTACTACCTCTTTCTTTTAAGTAGATAAAATAAATTTCTCTTGATTAAAAACAAAAGAAAACCTCACTTCTGACAAGGAAATGCAAATCTTTGTTGAGTTATTACCATGTGCCAGTAGCAGATTGGGCTAAGATCTTTAAGGGTGTTATCTTGATTCTTTTATAATAACCTTATTTGGTTTGGTACCATTGTTACCAAATCATACAGAAGACACTGAGGCTTGTTGAGGTCAGTCAGGATTACTTTGATGGTTAAGTATGGCAGCAGGATTTGAATCTAAGCTGCCTGAGTCCAGAGCAGCTATCTATAACAAGACTATGTATATGTGTATATATATGTATATGTGTATATATATGTATATATATGTACAGTGGGGCCTTGACTTACGAGTGTCCCGACTAGCGAGTTTTTTGAGATACGAGCTGTCTCTCGGCCAATTTTTTGCTTTGAGTTGCAAGCTAAAATTCGGGTTACGAGCCAGCTTCAGATACCCCACCGCTAGTTGGCGCAGTGAATGTCACAGTGAATGCCACAACATCAATCCAGCATCACGTGTCTCACTCATTCACAATTGATTTGACATACGAGTAATTTGAGTTATGAGCTCCATCACGGAACGAATGAAACTCGTAAGTCAAGGCCCCACTGTATATGCATATATATATGTGTGTGTATGTATGTATATGTATCTACACTAATAAAAGAGAAAGATGCAAATTGACTGTACCTTTGCAACGCCCACCAGCCAATCAGGAGTGAGTATGCAAATTAACCAAACAAAGATGACGTGTTACTTTACATACACAGGTGCCGAGTGGCCGCTCCGGGCCTCTGGGCAGTGTGGGAAGGCAGAAAGGTGGCTCTGGGCTGGAGCGAAGGCAGTGCCAGCAGCCAGGGGAAGGAAGGCCCATTCTTGCATGAATCTTCGTGCATCGGGCCTCTAGTGTGTGTGTGTGTGTGTGTGTGTATCAAATATTTGACATAAAACGTATAACATTATGTTAGTTTTGGGTGCAAAGCATAATGATTCAACATTTATTTACCTTACAGCGATTACCACAATAATTCTAGAAACCATCTGTTGCTCTATATTATTAAAACATTATTGACTCTATTCTATGCTATATATTACATCCCCTTGTCTTATTTCATAACTAGAAGTTTATACTTCTTAATCCCCTTCCTCTTTTTTGCCTAATTCCCCACCCCACTCCTCTTTGCTGTCAGTTTGTCCTCAGTATATATGAGTTTGTATTTTGTTTATTTATTTCATTTATTTTATTTTTTAGTAATTGTCTTACTCTTTCCGACTTATTTTACTTAATAAAATACTTTCTAGGTTTATCCATGTTGTCTCATATGGCAAGATTTCATTTTTGTATGGCTGAGTAATATTCCACTGTATGTATGTATCATATCTTCTTTATCCATTCATCTATTGGATGCTTCCATATCTTGGCTCTTGAAACAATGCTGTGATGAACATAGGGGTTCATGTATCTTTTACAATTACTTTTTGTTTTCTTCAGATAAATACCAGAAGTATTTATCTGAATCACTGGGTCATTCAGTAGTTCTATTTTTAAATTTTTGAGAAATCTCTAGACTGGTTTTCATAGTGGCTGTACTAATTTGCAATTCTACCAACAGTGCACAGGGTTTCCCTTTTCCCCTTATCTTCTCCATCACCTGTTATTTGTTGTCTTTAATAATAGTCATTCTGACAGATGCAAAGTCACATCTCATATGGTTTTGATTCACACTACATATTAATATGTCAGAAGCTCTCAAAAGTTTAGTAATAAACTGTTTAACTTTCTAAACTGAGTTTTCCAGGTTTATTTGATCACGGAATCCTTCCTGTGGAATATACTGTAGACTACATATTAGGAAACATTGATCTATTATATATCTTCTTTATATGCATTTCATAAATCACTGTAATATCACTACAGCCCTCCTACTCCTAGTCAATTTCTCTTAAAACTATTCTTGCCAAGGATGCTGGTGACTTTTTGTCACCAAATTCAATATCTATATCTATATCTATATGTATATCTATATCTATATCTATTTAAATACATTTTTACTGATTTGGGAGAGGGAGAGATAGAAACATCAATGATGAGAGAGAATCATTGATTGGCTGCCTCCTGCACGGCCCCCACTGGAGATCGAGCCCACAACCCAGGCATGCGCCCTTGACCAGAATTGGACCCGGGACCCTTCAGTCCGAAAGCCGACACTCTATCCACTGAGCTAAACTGGCCAGGCCTCAATAGATATTTTTAGAGTCTTTCTAAAACGTGACTTTTATGGATTTTCAACTTACTCACCATCCGTCTTTTGATATTTTAGTCTTTCTTGACTTTGGTAAAATTATTCTCTTGTTTTTCCTCCTATGTTTCCCTCTTCTTCTTTAGTCTCCTTTATGGGGTCTTGACTCTATATGCTCTGCCCTCCACTTTTTGTCTAGGATATAGCACTGTAGCACTGACACTGTATTTGCTGATGACTCCTGTGCCTGTATCTATAACACACTCTTATATTTTGAGCTTCAAACATCTGTTTTCACTGGTATTTGATAGACTTCCCATTTGGCTTATTTCATAAGCTCATCTAGCTCAGCCCACTTCACAGGCCCAACACTGTTAACACAGAGTCTCTGCTGGCCAGTGTGAAATTGAGTTTTGTAGCAGATGTAGCCCTCAGCAAGCAGAGCTCAGGCTGAATTTCAGTCCCTACTTTTTCCCCTTCTTAGGACATAATCTGCATAACTGTATACTAGACTCGACTGTAATTTTTGAATTTGTTTCCCCTCTCCCTACCTTATTGCTTTCATTCAGTCTCTGTGATCAAATAACTCTGGAAAACTCAGTTTAAAATGTTAAACAGATTTCTTTATTACTAAGCTTTTAAGAGCTTTTGATATATTAATGTGTGGTGTGAATCCTAGAAAGGAGTTATAATATGCAGCATTTCTCAAAAACATTATCCTGAATTAAGATAATATCCCGGGGGAAAAAAAAATAATATCTTTATCTTTATTCTTTATATTTCCCTACCTTTAGTTTTTCCCCTTTTAGGGTTATCCTTCTAAAATGGAACTCTGGGCAACACACCCAATTAATGCCATTAATTGTTTCCTATTTCCTTCATATAAAATGTGAACACCCTTAGCATTGCACATAGGGTTTTCCTGATCTGGCTCTTGTATACATTTTCATGCTGCGCTAAGGTACTTCTTGTTAGCCCTGTCCTCTTAAACTTCTGGGCTTTAGCTCATGCTCTTCATAAAGTAGTATCTTCCCATTACCCATATCTGATTGGCTTGTTCCTACTGGTTTTCAGGACTTCTGTCAAGTGTTACCTTTTCCAGGAATCCTTCCTAATCCCTTCAGTCCTAGTTAAATGTTCTTCCTTTGTTCCCTCATGCATGGTTTTGTCATGTGTAGCAGTTGTGTTTGTGCTGTATAAAATTTATCTAGTCTACTACTTAGAATGAAAGCTCCTGGGGACAGAGATGATATTTTCAATTTCTTTTCTTCAAGGCTGTAGTGCAACAATTTTAAATTAGACTCCTTTTGGTCTTTTCTGAAAATATTCTGGCTCTTTATCCTCCTTAGTACCCTTCCCTCCTTCATCTATGGTTCCACATTTATCTTCTCCCCCTCAGATTGATTGATTTTTTCTAAATATATTTTTATTGATTTCAGAGAGGAAGGGAGAGGGAGAGAGAGATAGAAACATCAATGATGAGAGAGAATCACTGATCAGCTACCCCCTGCATGCCGCCCACTGGGGATCAAGCCCACAATCCGGGCATGTAACCTAGCCGGAATTGAACCTGGGACCCTTCAGTCCGAAGGCTGATGCGCTATCCATTGTGCCACACCAGCTAGGGCTACATTTATCTTTTTTATATTTATCATTCGCCCAAGATTTTGTTTTTTTAAAGAAAATGTTCTGTGTCTGAATGGAAGACATAAAGAGGCAAGGAATGGAAAAAGAGAGAGAGGGAGGGAGGGAAGAAGGAAAGAAAAAGAGAAGAAAGAATGGAAGGAGAAGGAGAGGAAGGAAAGGAGAAGGGGAAGGGGAGGGCGGTGGGGAGGGGGAATGAGTAGGGGAGGGAGGGGAGGGGAGGGGAAGGGAAGGGAAGGGAAGAAGGGAAAAGAAAAAGAAAAAGAAAAGTAGGTTCAGTCCTAAATCTTACACAATGGCCAGAACAGTAGGCATTGGAGAAATACAATCAATTCAGACATCTGCTTAGACAGACTGATATTGAAATGACCAGCAGTACTAACCCACCGTACCAGTTTGCTTCCCTTTCTTCCAACATACCACAGTTTTTATTTTTATTTTGAGTAACTTTTATCATACTGCTTGCTCTGCCTGAAGTTTCCTTTTCTTCCTCTGAAGAGGTGTCTTAATAAATTTTTTAAAAATTTACTTTATTTAACCTTTACAAACTCTTTTTTCCCTTTTTAAAATTCTTTATTGTTTAAAGTATTACATATGAATCCTTTTTCCCCCATTGGCCTCTCCCCACTTGTTCCCACCCACTCCCCCAGCACATGCCCTCACCACCCTCCTACTGACTGTGTCCATGGGTTATGCTTATATGCATGCATACAAGTCCTTTGGTTAATTTATGGGATTGAATTTGACTTGATAAAACGATTTTTTAAAAATATATATTTTATTGATTTTTTACAGAGAGGAAGGGAGAGGGATAGAGAGCCAGAAACATCGATGAGAGAGAAACATCGATCAGCTGCCTCCTGCACGCCCCCCACTGGGGGTGTGCCCGCAACCAAGGTACATGCCTTTGACCGAAATCGAACCCGGGACCCTTGAGTCTGCAGGCCAATGCTCTATCCACTGAGCCAAACCGATTCTGGCAATAAAACGATTTTTTTGTTGTTACAGATAATCTCTGGATCCTGAAAAGTCAACTTTTTGGTGTAATTCTCATATGAATTGCTTGTTTAACTACATAATTTGTAAAATTATTTTCAACCTGATGTAACTATTTTTTTTTCAGCTTGTGAAGCTTTGTATTGTGATGATTGACACTGGAAAAGCCTTTTGTGCTGCAAATAAACAGTTTATGAATGGGATTCGAGACCTGGCACAATATTCTAGTAATGATGCTGTAGTTGAGGTTAGTATTTTAAAATTAGTTAAAATGACAAATGCAATAAGACATTAATCAATTATGCATCCATTTGCGTTATGAAGAGTTTTAATGGTCCTTAAAATTAGAAGTAGAAAAGCTGTCACCCATTGGTTCTGTCTTGTACAGTTCCGTTTTCTTGGATAGTTAGAAGTTAATGGTTGATTTGTATTGTGAATATAAGTTTACTTACTGCTCGGTGAGCTGAAGCATCTACAAGAAGGACTGAGCAGGAAGAGCAGGATTTTGCTTACTAGAAGCTGCTTATAGAGGAAAGCAGAACATTAACCTAAGAATAGTGTCAACTGTATGTATAGGGGCTGCATAGGAAAGTTTTGGTCAGCTACCTATGCTAGGTTAGCCTAGACCTCTCATTATATTATGTGGTATTAATGACATTTCGTTCATGAAGAATAATAACAGGTGAAGAAATTGGTATAGTTTGATGATTATTTGATCCATAGATGCCTTCATGAGCGTAGTCTTGGTACACTCAGTTTTACTTTTAGATTTATATATGCCATTCCTATTTGTTAGCATAATACTATTGACAGGGCAGTACTAATTCTTTGACTGTTCTAGAGTTTTATGTTACTACACATAGACTTGACCTGGGCAGAGCATGCCCATGAGATATTGAGATTTTCCTTAGAAATAAATGTTATTGTTAACAATGTAACTTGATCTTTTTGTCAGAAATGCTGAAGTAATGTTTTTTGTGGCCTGTTTTAGTGGATTTTAAATAACTCGTTTTTTTTTTTCTTTTGGTTTCTTTGTCATAGACAAGTTTGACCAAGTTTTCTGACAGCCTTCAAGAAATGATAAATTTTCATACAGTAAGTGTCAGTAAGTAGGTATTAATATGACCATGTTATTTTAGTATGTTGTTTTAGTGGCAGTATTTTATGAAATAATTTAAGTTGTAATTCAGTGACTTTGAATTTGTCAACTTTTTAGTTGGGTGTTAATCTAAAATGTGTGTGTGTGTGTGTGTGTGTGTGTGTGACAGAGAAAGAGAGAGAGGTAGAGAATACATTTTATTTCCTATTCTGAAGTACTGAACTTATATTAATGAGGTACACATCCATAAGTTTTTTCTTTTAAGTTGTACCTTTGTAAATGTGTAAGCAATTATTTCAAGAATGAAGAAGTAATTTAGTTATTTCTTATTTCTTTCAAGATACAAATATTACATCCCATTTGTTTGATTACTTGACAGTATTAAAGACTGCTGTAGTATTTGATATATGTGTGTGTTTAATATTTGGTACCAAGCTGCAGTGGCTCAGTGGTTGAGTGTTGACCTATGAGTGGAGACCACATTTTGATTCCTCATAGGGGCATATGCCCAGATTGCAGGCTCAATTCCCAATTGTGCAGGAGGCAGCTGATCAATGATTCTCTCTCATCATAGATGTTTCTATCTCTCTCTCTCTCTCTCTCCCCCTTCCTCTCTGAATCAATAAAAATACATATTTTTTTAAAATTAAAAATAATATTTGAGGGCATTTTTTCCCCATGGACAGACAATAGTTCAGGGAATGCCTAGGGAGGGGGAGGTTGTGGGGTGAGAGAAGGTTAATGGGGGGGGGGAGGGGAGGGACATCTGTAATACTTTCAACAATAAAGATAAATTTAAAAAAATTAAAAAATATTTGAGGGCATTTTTCCTTCAAGAATGAAGGATTATATATTACTTTTGGAATGTTAGAAAATTCCTTTTCAAATTTATAAAAGTTTGCTGAAAATATGATAGCTTATAAGCTATGTACTTCTTAATTTTTAAGAAACATTAACATATGGTTATATAATTATTTAATTCAATGCTTAAATTTATCAGAAGCTATAACAAGAATATCAACACTTATATTCCTTATAAAATCTAATTTTTGGTTCTTATTTAAGATTCAAAGTTTATAAGAATTTCTTCTTATTTATTACTATTTTTGGTAACATATTAAGCCTGAAGTTATCTGATAATGTTTATTTTAATTGTAGTTCAAATTTTATCTGTACCAAAATTATCATGCACAAGAACCTACTTCAGTTCCTGTTTTCAATTCTTTTGGGTATATATCTAGGTGTAGAATTGTAGGTCATATTGTAATTTGGTGTTTATCTTTTTGAGCTATCAAACTGTTTTCCACAGAGGTTGTACCATTTTACATTCCCACCAGCAATATATTCGTGTTTCAATTTTCTACATTCTTGTCAACACTTGTTATTTTCTATTTTTTTTTATTATAGCCATTCTAGTAGATGTGAAGTGGTGTCTCTTTGTGGTTTTTTCATTTCCCTAAAGACTATTGCAGTTGAGCAACTTTTCATGTGCTTATTAGCCATCTGTAATAATAAAAGTATAACATGCTAATTAGACCGGATGGCTGAACAGCGGAACAACCATCCAGACAACCTTCCGGGAGACATTCCGGACGAAGCTGGGGCTGCGAGGGCCACGCCCCTTGCACGAATTTCATGCATTGGGCCTCTAGTTTGTATATGTTCTTCCATCACTGTTGCCCATTGATGTCCTTTGCCCATTAAAATTTTTGAAAAACTGAGTTCTTTATATATTCTGGATGTTAACCCTTAGTCAGATATGTAAAATTTATGTATTATGACATGTAAAATTTTTCTCCCATCTGCAGGTTGTCATTTTACTCTCTTGATAATGCCCTTTGATGCAAAAAAGTTTTAATTTTAATGATGTTCAGTTAACTTTTTTTACTGTTGCTCCTGCTTTTGGGGTCATATTCCAAGAATCCATTGCTAAATTCCAGATCATGATTTATTCCTTTGTTTTCTTCTAACAGTTTTATTGTTTTAGCTCTAATATTTTGCACCAATTTATTTTTAATGATTTCTTACTAGTTCTCTTTTTGCTTTCCAGTGAGCTTGGATGCCAGTGCATGGTATATTTGATTTCTCTTGAAATCAAGTGGTCTTTTGGATTCCAACTTCTTAAAAAATATACCAGTAGTGAGCATTATTTTTTTTGTTAAAAGTTATTGATTTATATTAGCATAATATGTTAAATGTTTTCTCCATAATTTATCTTTTGTAATAGTTCTGTTTCTGATATTTTCTTTAAATCAGTCATTCTTGTATTTGTGTTTTATATAAGAATACCGTGCTCTTTTTTGTAGTTTTCTATGTACAAAGTTATGGTTATGACAAACTTTTGGTAAATAAATTGTTTAAATGTATGTTGGAAACTTTGTTGTCAAGAAATTTTACTTGAAAATATTTTATAAATCACTTTCTTAGAGTAAGTTAAATCTTCAAAAATCATGTTTGTTTGAAGCAAGGTACATAAGTGAAGTTTGCTTTAAGAGAATTGAGATTGGTCTTTTTAGTGCTAGTCATGTTAATGTACACCTAGATTTCTGAACTGATTACAATAATGTTTGTGTGTTTTTCTTTTCTAAAATTGAAAGCAATCAGTATTTTTGAACATTGTTTTTAAAAGAACATAGGATTTAGTCCTAGCCAGTTTGGATCAGTGGATAGAGCATCGGCCTGTGGACTGAAGAGTCCTGGGTTCAATTCTGGTCAAGGGTACATGCGTAGGTTGTGGGCTCAATCCCCAGTGTGGGGCATGCAGGAGGCAGATCCTGTGAAGAGGCTCCTTGGTGAAAAATTGAGATCTGGAGCCAACTGCCACGTACATGAAACCTATCAGGTACATGAGGAGCACCGCTAAGCCAGAAGCCAGGCTCACGACTGGCAAGTGCAGCAGCAGTAATGGGAGCCCCTTCTGCCTCCACGGCAGTGCTAAGGACCCCCCGGGGGATGTCCAACTGCCAGCTTAGGCCCTAAGCCGAGGAGTCCCGGTCTGCGAGAGGGTGCAGGCCGGGCTGAGGGACCTCTACCCTCCAGTACACAAATGTTATGCACTGGGTCTCTAGTAAAAATAAGTACTGCCTGGCTGGCGTGGCTCAGTGGTTGAGCATTGGCCTATGAACCAGGAGGGCAGAGTTCAATTCCCAGTCAGGGCACATACCCAGATTGCAGGCTCAATCCTTATTGTGGGGCATACAGGAGGCAGCTGATCAATGATTCTCTGTCATTGATATCTCTCTCTCTCTCTCTCTCTCTCTCTCTCTCTCTCTCTCTCTCTCTCTCTCTCTCTCTCTCTTTCTCTCTCTTCTTTCCTCTCTGAATTCAATAAAAAAATATTTTAAATAAATAGTTAAGTACCAAGAAGTAACAACCAAAAAAATAGCAAAATCCATTACATTCTAGTAAGAATACTTAATAGCAAATGACCATAATATTAAGGAAACAACCATACATACTTAGCTAAGTAGGGAAAATGTGAAAAATAAAACAAATTAATAGGTGTGAATTGTGAAAAATAAGAGCAAAGGAGAGATGAAATATTGGACAAAAGTCAAAAGAAGTGATGACATGGTAATGCCAGGGGAAAAGTTGTATTGTTTTGTTATTGTTTTTTATCATTATTGATTACTTTGCATTTTTAAGATTAATATGTAAATGGGATCTTTGTCTAATTTCTTTCAGTGTAATTATTTTGAGACTCAATTATGTGATTGTATTTATCAATAGTGCATTTTTTTATTGCTTGGTAGTACTGTATTTATGGATATATTATAATTTGTTTATCCACTCACCTGATGGATATATTAGTTACCTGTTGTTATTAACAGATTACCCCAAAACATACTGGCTTGAAACAAAAAGTATTTATTAGCTCACAGTTTCTGGGACAGGAATTTTTAGAGCGGCTGAGTCTTTTATGAAATTGCTATTAAGATGTTGGCTGGGGCTAGTCATTTGAAAGCTTCACTGGGATTGGAGGATCCAATTCCAAGATAGATCGCATGTATGTGGCAGTTGGCTCTAGGTCTTAGTTTTTCACCAAGGCGCCACTTCACAGGGCCACTTAAGTGTCCTTCATGGAATCTGGTTATTCCCAAAATAAATGATCCAAGAGCAGTGGTATGGAGAAAGCTGCAATACTTTTTATGACATCATATCAGAAGTCACTCATTGTCACTTCCTCCACATCTATATATATAAAAGCCTAAACAACCTTTAACGACCGAATGACCAGAACAACTGGTCGACCAGTTGCTGTGACGCGCACTGACCACCAGGAGGCAGAGGCTCAACGCAGGAGCTGCCCCCTTTTGGTCAGTGTGCTCCCATGGACCATACCCCCCCCGCCCCCCAGCCAACCTCCCATGGCCCCTCCTCCCAGTCAGCCAACCTCTGCCAGCCCCTCCACTGGGCCGGCCAGCCCCATCAGCCCTTAGCAGAGGGCCGGCCTGCCAACCTCCTGGGGTCCCTCCCTCTGGGCTCCGATTGGGGGGGCCGGCAGGCCAACCTCCCGTGGCCCCTCCTCCCTAGCCAGCTGGCCCCCAATAGGCCTTGATTGCCAGCCAGGCCAAGGGACCCCACCCATGCACGAATTCGTGCACTGGGGCTCTAGTTAATATACTGGTATATTAAAAGTAAGTCAATAAGACCAGCCCACTCTCAAGGGGTGAAGAATATGGTTCCACTTTTGAGAAGAGAAGTGTCAAAGAATTTGTGGACATATTTTAAAGCAATCATAATGGATGTTTGAGTAGTTCCCAAGTTTTGGCTATTATAAATAAAATGGCTTGTAAAATATATATGTAAACATCTGTACAGACATACTTTTATTTCTTTTGTGTAAATAGCTAGGAGTAGAATGGCTAGTTTGTAAGGTAGGATTATGTGTAACTCTTTACAAAATTACTTATATAGCAAAGACTACAAAAGTACACAGCTAAGAGAAATTAAGGAAACATAAATTTTTTATTTTGCTTTACTTATCAATGTATAT